TTCTTCTTCTTCTTCTTCTTCTTCTTCTTCTTCTTCTTCTTCTTCTTCTTCTTCTTCTTCTTCTTCTTCTTCTTCTTCTTCTTCTTCTTTGATTTCAACACAAGTATAGCGATCGCAGTTTCTATTGTAATGGTTTTCACTCCTATATCGATACACTGTAGATCATATGGAAGGCGTCAGCCCTGTCTGTCAGGACCAACCCGTGCTGAATAAGATACAAAGTCCCAGTAGACTCTCAAACAAAGCTAGGGGTTCGAACCTTCCGTCGTCTTCTGTTTGCTAAGGCAAAAATCTAGTCTTTCTATCCCCGGGGTTTTATGCACCCCCACCCCGCATAATGTAGCAAACTTGATCATTTTTTTGTGCATAATTTTTTATAATTTTCCTTTATCATTCTTTGTTAAAATTAACAGAATCACATAATTTCACATTTTTGGGCTCAGTTTACATAATTTCAGAATATTTTCTTGCATAAAACCACTGGGACAGGTCTTTACACCAGAAAGTCGATGAGACTGTCGTGGGGAGTTGAACTCAAAAGAAACAAAACTATTTTTTTTATATATGCAAAAACAGACGCTGGATAAGAAGCTTGTGCAGGTTTCTAAGAACATAAAACTTTTAATATCATTATGTAAGATAATGAGATATATTCTGCTGGAGCTATATCTTTTCTTTTTAAAGTTGTGAGAAATATAAAGAAAGGGCAGATCAAATCAGAATCATGACTTGAGCTTTTGTTATTTTTAAAACAAAAATTAAGAAAGAAATAACGAAACAGAATGAAACTGCATTTATATTGAAATATTATATCTTTTGATGTATTTATTCAAGTAGCGCTTATATCTGGAAATCCTCAGAAGTTGATTTGATTTGGAGGATTGTGGAATAGCGCAAATGAGCTGAATTTAAAAAAAAAAATTTTTTTAAACCAACATTGCTTTTAGTGTTGGGATAATGGGCAAAATGATGACGTTGATGATCCTCTTTGACACAAGCGGTGGCGGAGCGGTTAGTGCGCTCGTCTTCGAAGTGGAAAGACTGGGTTCGAACCCTGGTTCGGAAACAGATTTTTTCGCCCCTTCCTGCCCACCCAGCAATATTGGGTACCTTACTTCGAGTTCTGGAAGTAAAGGCGGCGTGGTAAGGAACTGGCCACCCTAACACAATATTATTGATTATGCCGAAAGCCCAGGAAGTTGTCTCACTAACAAGGCAATCCCCAATGCCCGGATCGGAATCGGGAACAATTTTACTTTTTAGCTACTTCTAACGACAGGGAACTCGGTTCACTATCTTCTCGCGCAGTGGATACTCTCCCCCCCCCTCCCCACCCCCCTCTCCCCGCTTAATCCTTAGTCTTTGTGTCAAGTATGCACCAAAGCATAATAATATAGACTAAATTAACAAAAGAATATATTTTTTAAAAAAATATATTAACCTGCTCACTGCTGGGTAGACGTATGCTCTGGCTTGTATTCTCCACTTATATTGTTTCATCTGGTTGACCAAAGTTTTAGTTGTTTTAGTTACAGCTTGTGATTTTGCTTATTCTGAAACAATTCTCTGTGTTTAAATATTCCTTGAATTAACAATAATCTTGTAGGTACAGATGTTCATGGAAATTTTTCAGCAGTGAAGGGGTTAAGGTATAGAGTACAAAAAACAAGATTAGGTGACTCATTGAGCGCGTGGCACACATGTGAAATCTACAGCAGACCATAACAATTTTTCAGCACATTTTGAACCTTAAGGCACACATTAGAAACACAAATTTGCATATTTCATAGTATGCGTGTTGCTACCTGACCTATTAGCTTTAAGTTAAAGTTAACAGGATTTAAAATTATAAATGAATAAATAAGTTATGATTCTTTTTTAAAGCGCCCAAAACAGCGCGTGTGCATGCAAGCAGTGTGAATCCTAAATGTGTTAAACAAATTATTCATTTCTTGAATTAAAAGCTAGTAATTTGGACGTAAAAAAGTGGCCATTCGTACAGGTGATTATCTCATACTGGTGTCCCTTTGAGCTGGTTCTTTTTTTTTGGCATGTGTTTTACGGCGCTCGCAACCGCATTAGGTTATATCAGTGCACTGGACACATTAAACATATTTCAGTGGGTAGCGAATTTTGAATTTAGCCCGGGTGGGGGCCGAAGCCTACACCTATCAATTTTGGACCACCAAAGGATCTTTAATGAGCGCAACTTACAAACGGGACCTCCCAGATTTTTCAACCTTATCGAGAAGGCTGGGTGTAGATCTTACCTACCATAAGATCAGGGGTGTGGCTGAAAGACAGCAGTTAGGAGCCAAGGAGTAGTTGCTAGGCTGCAGAAAGAGTCAGGAACCTAGAAGGGGCTTTTGTTATAGTTGGTGTTTTTACAGCACTTGCAACAAAATAAGATCATATAAGTGCAGAAGATTAGAGTTGTTAAAAGAGAGTAACAAACGCAAAAAAGAAGGAGGGGAGATAAAGACGATAGACGAAAGAAGAAGCAAGCCACACCAAAGCCCCCGCCAACAATAGGAGGTGAGGGGGCGGGGACAGAAAGTGGAGAGGAAAGCAGATGACAGAACATTGCTAGAGTCAGAGAGCAGGAAAGGATGTGAAAGGAGAACATTTTAGAGAAGAAAATTTTACGTCGCTATCCATATTCGAACCCGGGACGTATTGAATGACAGGCGAACACCTAACCAGTGCTTCCACCAGCTGAAGCTGAAAAGTAAGGAAAATTCTGCCGGGAGGTCTGGGGCGTATATCCTAATTTTTCTCAATTTTCACATCTGAACGTCGCATGTCACAACCTCGGAACACCACTTCAAATTATTTTTGATTTTAGTAGTTTTAGCACAAAATTCTTTCATCGCGGCCCTTATCGCGCTCCCGTGCCATAGAAACTTCGCACTGATAATTACTCTAGATCTAGACTATAGATTTGCAAAAAAGTTACTTTCTGAAAATAATTTTCTGTCTAAGATCACAAGTCAATTTACTTGATCAACGTGCAGATTTTCCTGCCGCAGCAACAATCCAAAGATAGACAGACGGAATGAGAGAATGACAGAAAGGAGGAAATTGGCACAAAATGTTCGCCAGATTTTGATCAATCTGCAGGTAAAAAATGTACTGCCGACCAACCCACAATGAACGCATAGGGCATAGCAGAATATGGCCGATGCGATGGCAGGAAATGCGAAATCTGGCAGGTCTATAACCTAAACTATTGCCAAGAGAATTACCGTAAATATCCGTAACTTACACAAGACGATACGAAGGCGAGTACGGATCTTTCGCTACGGAATTTCGGTAGTCCTACGCTGTCGCAGATTTTTACGGAGCAAGTTGATAACGATGAAGGAACAAGTACGGAACTGGCAGAAAGTACGGATTTCCGTAAAAATACGGAAGAGCGGAAGCACTGCTCAACCTCTAGACCATGAGAGCCCCCAAGAACAGGTTCAAGAGTATCAGGACCCACCTGTCTCTTTCTATCGCCTCCTTATCCTGCAGGCGGTCAATGATCCGCTGGCACTGCTCAGTCTTGGGGTCAAGCATGCCCAGCGACGCCATCTTGGGCACAGCTCGGATCACCTCCTCGAGGCTCATGTGCTCCAGCAGGGCTTCAAAT